TGCTTTCTTTTTGTATTGAGGTAGACTAAATAAAGTGCTGGTACTGGATCAGAGGTTATAGGAGATGGGAACAGCTGGGGAGAGCATTCTGCTCATGTAGGGTGGGAGCTTCCCAGAAAAGCTCTTAAACACAAGGCTGGAAAGAAGAAGGGTGCATCTGGATTCCAGCGACAGCCAGTTTAGTTCTTTTACCATGTCAAAATGGTGGGTCCTGTAATTACATTGTAGCACAAATCGGCAGAACGAGTTATACAATGTGTTGAGTTTATTAAGGTGGGTTTGCGGTGCAGGTGCATATACTACATCCCCATAATCCGTGATTGGCATCAGCATTTGCGGTACAATCTTTTCCTTTTCTGTAGGGCTTAGGCAGGATTTGTTTCTGTACAGGCCACCTAGTTTTGGATAAAGTTTAGATGCAAGTTTTTCTATGTGGAGGCCAAAAGATAGATCTAACAACATACCCAAGAATTTGAAAGAGTGGACTGCGGTCAGTGTGATATTTGAATTTGTTTGGATGGATAGGTGGGAATTGTGTAACTTGTGTAATTTAGGTACTGTTCCATAGATCATTGTGACAGTTTTGTCAGTGTTTAGGAAGAGTTTGTTTTTTGCAATCCACTTTTCTACCTCTGTAAACTGGTCTTGGAGCACAGCCTCAAGCTGCGGTAGATTGGATTTGCTTGCATAGATTACTGTGTCGTCTGCGTACATGTGAACATTTGAAGATTTGCAGACATTAGGCAGATCATTTATAAATAATGTGAGTAGTAGGGGGGTGAGAATGGAACCTTGGGGAACACCATACGTGACTGGGAGAGGGAGGGAGTTGCAGTCAGAAATGGACACATATTGTGATCGATCCAATACATATGATCGAAACCAGGTTAGCGGACGATCACTAATACCAGAGTTATTCAATTTGTGCAATATGGCCTTTGCAAAATCAATGAAAATAGCTCCAGTTAGGTCTCCTTTTTCCATGCCAGTTTGGATGTCATTGCAAACTTTTAAGGGAGCAATTGTAGTGGAGTGATTTGGGAGAAAATCTGATTGATCAGGGGTCAGATAGTTAGAATGTTGGTAATACTCACATAGTTGGGTATGGACGCATTTTTCTAAGATTTTTGACAATACTGGGAGCAATGATATTGGGCGATAGTTAGAAAAAAAAGTAGTGTCACCACTTTTATGGATAGGCACTACTCTCACAGTCTTCCAAAGTTTGGGTATGTACCCAGACACCAAGGATTCATTAATTAGGGTTGGGACAGGTTTAGCAATGCTGTTGAAGCACACCGAGCTTCAACAGTATTGCTGGGATTTGATCAGTTCCAGACTGGTTTTTCATTTTTATATTATTAAGGTGTTTCTTGATTACACTAATAGGTACAGGTCTAAAATTGAACTTCTCTATATTGGGTCTTTGAAAATTTAGTGGAGCCTGATCCACATTTATAGTTTCAGGATGTGTGTCATTATTAGCTTGGCAGTCAGGGTGGTGGAGCATCCGACAAAATTATTGTTAAAGGCATTTGCAATGCCTAAAGGAAGTTGCATGGTTTGGTTGTCCACTTTGACAGTGAAGGATTGGGAGTGGATTGGGGGAGTTTGTAAGTTATTTATGAATTTCCAAAAATTTCTAGGGGTTGAAATGTTATTGTTAAGATTTTCGCAGAAATAATTAGAATTGGCCAATTTTGTTTGTTTTGTGCATATATTTCGCCATTGTCTATATGCACAGTGATTGTTCATAGAGCCAGTACGTTTGAACTTTGACCACAATGAATCCCGAAACTGGTACATTTGGATGAGGCCACCTGTGATCCAATTCATATGTGCCCCTTTTACTCTCACTTTACGCAGCAGGGCATGCAAATTCCATGCAATGCAACATTAATTGTGACCCATGCATATGTTGTTTGAAAGTGAATGGGGTTACAATGTAATATTTACATTTTTAAGCTATTGCAGATAACTACAAAATTTTTTTTTGCATATAGGAAGAAATGGAGAACAGTCACGGATAACACACAACACATACTAATACACTGTATCCACCCACATGAATAGGGATCTGTGGAGTAATCTTTACATTTGGTGTTCAATTATAACAGATTTTGAATACGACTTTTAATGAACTCATTTGTCCTGCTAGGCTAACTACAATAAGCATGCTGGAATTTTCAATAAGGCAGTTGAGGCACTTACATAAAGGTTGTGTGGGAAGAAGGGAATAGCGCCTCACTGTGTTCTCAGGTGATATACAGAACAAAACAGAGATGGAAACATGCAGAAGTGTATGTGTAGTATTTTTCACAATATGGAAGAATTAAGCAAGAAATGCACTTACCAATGCTATCAAGAGCTCCACTTCTAGGACATTGCTTGTGTTGATAGTGAATGTGTACCACCTATGCTGGATGGATTGAGCAAAACCCATTTAGATCTACTACTGTATGTAGCTTCCCATTCATTTGCACCAAACAATACTACAGTGTGCACTACATGTATATCTCTGTTCTATTGCATATATACAACTTGGATGAAAACTGTTCCTAGTCGTAATCCCAGAGTGAGGATTGTAACCACTACACGCTATACTTTAGGAGCCATTATATAGGCTCCATTTCATGTGAGTACAATTTTTAATCTATTACATTTTATCTATACTGTTCAGAAGTACTACACTATATGGTCAATTTGTGTTTCTACTTCATAAACCCCAGGTGACCAATTGGAACTAGGGGACACAATTAGCATCCTTAAGCAGGGATTGTACCGTTCATGTGCCTGTAAGTGGAGCTCTTGGTAGCTCCTTGTAACTGTAACTGCATTTGTTTAAAAATTTCTCTAAATTGTGAAAAACACTACACCATATACAAATCCATTTTTCTATTTTTGTTTTGTTTTATATGCCACCTGAGAACTCACTACTCCCTCCTTCTCCAACTGTTCTCAAACAGTCCATACACTCCGAGCGCTAAACCGTCACTTATACATCACTTACATAAAGCTCTGTGCCCACCCTACACCATTTTCCTATACCCCACATACCGCCATTCCATAAAACCTCAGCTATTCTCACTCTCACCCATAGATCTTTCTGATGGTTATTTATATTGCATGTTTTGTGTGATGAGGAGGAGGGAGCCGGTAGCATTTCTCTATATATGGTTCGATGAGCTGTAAATCTGATCGTGCTTGAAATAGCTACAGGAACTTGCAGCCATGTATAGCAGCACTCACCAGCAGTTAATGTAGCAGTTTATTTACATATGGTTACTGGGTTAGTTGATGGGATCTGTATAATGATGTAAAATAGACTTTGTTCACTATATGCTGAATTGTAGTGAAAGGAAAATTAAATTGCTAAATTTAGACAAAGCGTTCTCTGATTCCACTATTGTAACAGCTTGACTATTTTTGCCTAAACTAAGCCTTTCAGGTTACAGTTAACGATAATTGCCTGTTTAGTGGATAAATCCCTATATTCTATTTTTCATTTAAAAGATTCATAACCACTCTTAGATCTTATCAGTTTATCATGGGGTCTACCTAAGCTTGTACCTGCTTCACATGAATAGTGATTGTCTGTTATCTTCCATAGGGCATTAGTGGCCTTTCTACTGAGCAATGAGTTGCAGCTGGCTCAGATCCAACCCTACAGGGCTCTGAGTGGGTCCATTAGATTTAAGCCGCACTTGGGGTTGCATTTATCCTTTCCCTTTCCACTCCATCGAGAAATAGAAGCTCCGGGTGGCTCCCTCATGTGGGGCTACCAGCTCTTCATTCTTTCTTATTGTTTACTCCAGCTTCTGGGGGCAGCAGGCCTGGTACATAAGTGTGTGAGTCTGTGTGTGTGTTTCACAAAAGTGAAGTATGGTAGATGCACTGGAGATGGGAAAGTTTTGCAGATCCACAGGGGGGTGGAAAATGCAGAGTCAGAGGAAAAATATGTAATATGTTTCTCTTTGGGGGGTTATAGAAGATACTTGTGAAATTATGGAAATTAGGTAAAACTATGTAAGTGGATGTGTGGTAGATGCACAGGGGGATTTGTGGGAGATGCATGAGTTAAAGCTCAGACTGGCCATCGGGTACACCGGGCAAATGCCTTGTGGGCCGCGATGTCCATAGGCCGAGGCTGGCAGGGGAGGTCACAGGATCTCCCTAGCCTGTCCATGCAGGGCCCGTGCTATCCGAGTACCAGCCCTGCTGTATTCCATGATGGGCCGGTGGGGAGAGCAAAGTTCTCCCTCACCGACCCTCTTCTACAGACATGCAGCCTCAGGCTGAGGAGGGACACCGGCTGGGGAGGGAGACAGTAGAGGACCCGGCGGAGCTCTATCTTGCAGCTCCACCGGGTTCCTCTCGCAATGCCCCCGATCTCGCGAGAGTGAATTCTAGCCTCACAGGCTAGAGTTCACTCACCACTAGCACTACCATGGATTTCAGCACGGTCCCCCCTCTCAGGGGGAAGGGATGGGGGGATATAATGCTAGTTTTTTGTTGTTGTTTTTTTTTTAACCCCAACACACAATCTCTCCTAACATATACACACACACAGCATTCTCACACACAGCACTCTCACACACAGCGCTCTCACACACAGCGGTCTCACACACATCACCCTCACACACAGCACTTTCACACACAGCACTTTCACACACATCTCACACACATCACCCTCACACACACACATACACTTCACCCCTCACACTCACAGCATCCATCACACAGACTGCACACCTCTCAGACACACACACTTTACCCCTCACACACAAACATACCCCTCACATAAACACTACACCTCTCAAACACACAATGACATCTTTCACACACACCCAGTGCACCCCTCACACATACACAGAGAACCCCCAACACACTGCATGACACACACACACACACACAATACTTCCAAACATATTTATATTATATATATATTTAATATTTATATTTTTTTTATATATAAATAAATACCACAGCACCCCTCACACACATACTGCACCCCTAAACACATTACATTCCAGACATCCACTAGATCTCTTACCCAACGCTGGATCATCTACACACATACACACACTAGATCCCTATATACACTCTGAATCTGCTATATACTCACACTCACTAGATCTCCTATGCACATTCTGGGTCCTTCAAACACACACTAGACCCCTATACACACACACACACTGCACCACCTACACACACACTACATTCCTAACATACACACTTTGGATCCCCTATACACAAACTAGATTCCTTGTAAGCAAACACATACTACATTCCCTAAACAAACACTCTCTACAACCCCTACAAACACTACATCACCTATATATACACACAAACACACACTCACTATAGCCCGTATGCACACTTGCTACATCCCCTATATACACACTATCTACAGTCCACATATGCATTACATTACACCACAAACACAACACGACTAAAACCAACCTTATTACACAATACCACACCACATACAGCTCATTCTACTCACACGTGATCCCACAAGCAGACTCCAAACACATGCACAATACTTTCCTGGTATCCCATTTATAGAGACACCAGAGACAAGTTGCAAGCAAACACAGTGCAAGCATGTTATTAAATTTGCAATGTGCTGAACAAATACAGGGTCTTTTTCTCATGCTAGAGCTCTTCAGCAGAGCTTTGCGCATGGTCTGCCCTGGAAAAGCATTGAACCAACACGCTCACTTTGAGAGGGGACGTGTTTGTCTTTGGTGATGACAAAACACACCCTCTTTGCCCTGTGCCTTTCTTAGTGGGCCACTGTGATTAAAATAAAATGTCTGGGCCAAAAAAAAATTCCAGTCCGGCCCTGCATGAGATGGTCCTGAGGAAACAGCACAGGGAATTAAAGTGGAGATGCACAAGGTACAACATAGGCATTTGTGCGAGGTGCACAGGGGCATGTTGGGGGGAGATGCACTAGAACAGTGGTTCAAAAACCAGTCCCTATAGCCCACTAACAATCCAGGATTTATGTATTTCCCTGTTTTATTCCAATGGAGATACTGACAAAACCTGGACTGTTAGCGGATCTTGAAGACTGGTTTGAGAAACACAGCACTAGAGGAATGTTTGGGAGATGCACAAGGTTAAGTGTGAGGAAAATACACCAAAAGGAACATGTGGGTGGTGCATAGATATATGAGGAATGTGCACATGGGGAGGAGATTTACAGAGGTATAATGGGGGAGAAGATGCACTAAGGAACTTGGTTCGAGATGTGAAAGAAGAAAATGGGGGCAATTTAAGGTAGATGTTTAGATGTTAAATAGAGGAGGCAATTTGGGGGAGATGTTCAAGCAGGATTTGTGGAGATGCACTGAGAGGGATGTAGCAATATATATGGGGAAAGGGGAAATAAAAAATACCTCTATGTTGTCATTGGAGTGGATGTCCATAATGAAGGTGAGACTTCAGGAGTTAGAATTTTGGTGAGTGGGGCATGGGCAGGAATATGTCCTTGGACCCATGCAGAACAGAGCCTTGTGCTGGCCCTAGGCTGGCTCAATTCAGGCCACAATAGCAGCATTGGAAAAATATCCCAGTTATAGCTAAGTTAAATATTCCAGTTAATAGCTACTTGCCCTTTTTTTTTTTTGTCATCCAACCACAGTTAACTATCAAGTGAGTAAACCCCTAAGGTTTTTGTAAATTATTTATTTTGGGTAATTATATGAATTTATTTTGCAGAGGTTTTTGTCTATTTATGAACACAGTATATACTTTTCGTTTACACCAAAATGTCACGCACACATTGAAATAACTGCATCTTACACAATATAACGTTTGTCACATAGTTGAGGGTTTTAATGGTAATTGTAATTACTCTATCTGCACGTCTCCTGACAAAACGTACGAGGTTATTGAGGTAAACCACAGTTTCTTTGTGCAGTAATGTCAATAAATCAGACTGGGATCTGTTTAATTACGGTTCTGTAGACCCTTTTTCCCAGAGGGTTTTTGGCATCCGCTCCGTGTGTGGGGAAATACTCGGAAAAGGGAAACACGCAAGATAAAATCTATTAGGGGAAATTAAGTGATATTAATTAGAACAAAATATGACAGATTATTTTCTAGCAATTGGAAAGCTATAATGAAGCACTATGGCTGCTGCAATATAAATTGGAATTATTTGCTATAAAAAGTAATGATACAGCAGCTATTTAGAGCCAGTTTAATATGTGAAATGACTATAGTAACTGCTGTCCTAAAAACGACATTTTAGCCCTGCAATAATACAGGTTCTATGAACTGCTGAAATAATTGTTCTTTACTGAATCGCCTGCTATCGGCAGGGCAAGAATTAACCATTTTTTTCTCGAAGAAGTAACTCTTCAAGTTTGGAATATAAGTGAGTGTTTTGGCCAGTTTTACTTATTTCGTTACTTAACAGATATGTTTATATGATGTGTGGATAAAATAAAATTAAACGGGAAAATCCACACCTCTTCATCCTGCAACTGGGCGCCTCCATCTTAGCAGTCAAACATTTATATAAACTCTATCGAGCGCATGTAACAATCAGCAAAGAAAAAGCAGATCGAGAAGAAATTAAACAATGTTTCTATTGCTGCTCTTCGTGTGCTGTGTTTACGCTGACTTCGCCTTGTCTGAACTGGATTATCATTTGTTAAATCTTTAATATAAACTAAACGAAAACAGTGCATGCCATGAAAAGGTTAACACACATTACATGTGTTATATATTAATTCTGGGTGCAAGCCACGTTTTCAAGATGGCAAACTCCCCCCTGGAGTAGGTGCTTCGTCCCTTATACCATTTACAATAATGTGTTCATTTTGGAGAATATGTCTGCCAATCTATATCCCCCCTAATAAAGGAACTTCCTGCATACAGGCTTGTTCCATCCCTACAAGCTGTTGATTTGGCTTTGCACTGTGTGAGCTATAAATGATCGTGTTTATAGATAGAGTTAGGATTTAAACATGCATAATGGCACATGTCTAGTCTTCTCCTCCTCATGTCATTGAAGAACTACAAATATACTTCAAAATGTTTCCTGTTTATGTAGGACAATCCACATATGAGCTTAGTCCCTCTATCAAGAGGACTTAAAGAAAGAGACAGACACACTGCAGATTTTTAACAATCATGTTCCTGTGTGTCCTGTTCCTGTGTGTCCAACTTTTCTGGTCACAACTACATGTTTGTTCGTCCACCCACTGTAAAGCACTGCGGAATTTGTTGGCGCTAAATAAATAATAACATAATAATAAATTGGTTTATTGCTTACCAGAGCTCCAGGAGGTTGCCAGGTGCATAGACTGAGTATTCCACAAATATAAAGTCAGACTTGATGAAAGCACAACAAAATGAGCACTCTAAAGGTAATAGAAAAAAAACTTTATTGGTGCATAGTGGGAAGACACAGTGCACAGCAACACAGTGGGAGCCAAATAGACCATTTTGAACCCAACAGTCCATGGTCCTAATATTAATGCCACTATCAACATGTTTTGTTTTAATGCATACCTTACAACAGTGTTAATTACAGGACCATGATGATTTTAGAGTCCTGTCCTGCCATCCAGCAAGCGCGATACTAATGTATCTTTAGACACACTGTAGATGTACTGAATAGCGTTGGAGCACTAAAACCATCTAGACGGTGCATCAGCAGGACTCTTTGCGCAGTCTGTCCTGTGTGTGATAATTCATAAGATTAAGTCTGTACTCTATCCAAGTAGCACAATATGTTGGAGCTATATAAATGCTAATAATAATGAGGATAACCTTGGATACCACTGGCAGGCTATAAGTACTGGGAGAAGGTTTTGACTGTTTATTCAACCTGAGAGCAAAAAAAAAAAGCTTTGTATTTTATAGCAGCCCGGTATTGGAGCTTTAGACGACGGTGTTAAGCTCTATAAGGTACGTACCACCCCTCAGTGCTTGCTTATTGGGCATCACATGGTTTACATGGGATAAATGTAGGTTGGTCTGTATGGTATATTATTATACATGTCTTTTTTATTGCATAGTATTGTTGTGAGAGAAAATGTTCGTACATCACAATAAAATGCACACCCTTTTCAGTCAGCTGAATTATTTGATCTAAATACGAGGTATAAAAGAAACCAACACATGCCTTTGAGTCACATTTTTAGAATACATGCTGGTCTAGTTTCTGTGGAGTGAGCAGTGTTGTGTATATGCTAGTGTGAATGCCAAAGAGTCCTAGTGTATCTGGGTTACTGTGCCAGAGGGCTTGATAATAACTCTCCTAAACTGAGAGATTTTGAATTTGTATGAAAATCATTCTATCATAAATTGGTTTATATATTTAAAAAAGCTCTTCTAGGGTTGTGAGGGTCTCATGAAGGTGTCTGGCACATTGATTTATGGTGGCTGTAATGTCCATTGGTTTGCAGGAAGACCCATTACCTTCCCTGCCATTTTTAAGCTTGGCTTATTCTTATTGCATTTTCTTGCCAGAGTGTGATTTGCCATGTTCATGTACGGGGTAGTATATAAGGGGCAAAAGAAGGACATTTCTAAAGAACCAGTTTAGGTGAAGTGGATGGCTCTGGTTGGACCAGGAGGAAACTCTCTTTTCCTCTACCTGGTTGTGATACCATCACTATCATTGTTATCTGGTCTTCACCTGGTACTGAATTAGTAGAAGGATGTAAATTTGAAAACATAAGGGATTGGAAAATGCATGGCTATTCTCGAATAGCCCTCATTTCACAGAGCAGTTAAAATATGAAGTAATTTGGCACCTTGGAAAGACTACTACTTCAATATGTAAAGAAAACCTTATGAGGTTAAACAAGAAAACAATTGCACCACATTTTATGGAACAATGTAACTGCCTCCTTCCAATCTTTCCTTCTGGAACAGAGGTGGGCAGAAAATTGGATAGGCTACCAAGGGCACAGAGCAAAGAGCGAATCCCCCTGTTCAAGGGGGAGGTCTGCCCACAAAGAGGGTGGCTCTGCATTTCCCCAAATGCCTCATGAAGGCATTGTCCTGGTGTCAAATCTCTTTCCGAATCTTGAAATCTGCCAGAAAATTTTAAAATGTGGGGCAGGTTCCCAGGATCCAGTTTTGCAGGGAGAGTTCCCAAAATGCACGACTGTCCCAGCAAATGTAGGACTGTTGGCACCTATGAAATATTGAATGAAGAAAAAACAAACCTCCTGATTATAAGGAGGATAGGAGTCAATAACTCTC